ACTGCACAATAATGTGAAATTATCTCAGCACGGATAAAAACTTGCTTCTGGGAATAGCGATGTAAAAAACTGGAGCATTCTTCCTCGGATATTCACGCGACGAAATTCTCGGTGAAAAAACTCGGTGAAAACAAAAATTCTAGGCGATCGCCGCAAAACTCAGCGCACTCTATCACTTAACTATTGATATCTTTAGCACTTCTTGGATCTTGTGTAGAAAATGTAGATATCCAGCAATGTGTCACTCATTTCAGGATCAATAACACCTCGGCCACAGCCGTTTGGATGTGACCGATTTCACCTCCTCGAACCGTAATTCTGGCCAGCTTGCTGATCATATTATTCGTTCAATTAGAGGAGAATAAAGACTTCTGGAGTATGTAATAACTGTAAAGCCAAATGTACACAATGACTGTGTCCGGAAACACATGTTGCATGAACAATAGCATGCATCAGCATCACTGGCCTCCTGACTGGAGAAGGGAAGGAGGGAGGGATCTGCGCCTAGGGTACGGTCGCATCCGGAGGTGTAAATACATTTAGCACTGCTAGTAGGATAATCGAAACAACAGCAACAGCCAGTACATAAGTATATATATGTGTGCAAATATAGCCGTTCTGATGAATGGATGGCCTTAAATGGACAATGATGACATGGACACACAATATGCAGACGTACCTCGCCCTCCGTAGACAAATTTTGTTGACATTCACCATTCACTCCTCCACCCCCTAGCTTTTTTCGAGAATGAACAGAATCACACCACTTTCACAGAATACCACTGGACATGGGCCATAGCTCGTTCTCTTGCAAATTCACTTCCAAGAAGTAGCGACAGAGTTCCTGCAGCCAAAAAATTTTATTCACTTACTTTTACCGTTTACGTGTCACGAGGTTCCAAGCACCCTTACTCATCCATCATTAGCTGCATCGGTTCCCAGCAGCAAACCCAACTTGCTCACTGGTTCCTGATACACCAGTAGAAAAGCACCATATCCAGCATGAAGTGTCACCAAAACACGAGCCTGTAGCTCCTTTACTCTGGAACAATGTTGAAATCATATTTTTTTTCTTTATAATCCATGTAACTTACGTGAAAAATCGACTTGTTACTGAGAAAAGGGCAGCCAGGGGACATACCGAACTGACTTCTCCTGGCACTATTACTACTGCCAACTAAAACGGAGTTTAGTGCTAGTGCCTGAAATATGGCGGGGTAATCGAAAAGCAGATGGTACTCTATCCCTTAATAAGCAGTTAGAGCTAGAACTCTCTCGACTGCTTTTAGCAGCAGCAGC